GGGGGCTGCCTCCAACCAGGCTCACCCCTCCCCTGTGGACTCTGGCACTGGCTAAACAACTTGGGCAGCAGCAGGGAGGGGCCTGGAGGCCTTGGGCCCGGAGCACAGGCCTTGCTGCCGTGCACCACAGGGCTGGGGTGGGATTCTGGCTCTCTGGTGCATGGGCTGCAGCTGTGAGAGGGCACTGCTCTCTCCTAGTCAGTCTGGCGGGGGCCCAGCGTGCAGCGTCCCAGGCCAGGTTTGCCATCCTGAAGAGGTCTCAGGCCAGGCCACATCGTGCCAGGGGGCATAGGCAGCATCTCCCCAGCTCCCAAGAGGGAGGGGGACAACCACAGGGAAGCCTCCTCCAGCTGGGCCCCTCCCCAGCATGGACTTGGGCTGGGTCCTCTTGGCCAGGCAGAGCTACTTGGTGGGAGCTGCTGCTGCCGCCCCACTCCACTCCCCCACCCCGGGGCTGCAGGGCGCATTGGGCTCAGGCCCATCCCTGAGGAGTCAGGCCGGGGCTGTGGAAGTACCTGCCCCCCTGCTGGGGCCCTTGAGGTCCTAACAGCATTGCCCGTGCCTCCTACCTCGCTGTGGCTGCTGATGCTCGGATGACCCCGTGCCGGCTAAGGGGGGTAAGCACCAGCCCAGTGTCAGCGTCTCCCCAGCTTGGCAGTGCCAAACAGCACCAGCGCTGAATACCTATGTCCCAGGGGGGCTGCTTGGCAACAGCACAACACAGCCACCTGCCTAGGAACAACATCAGCCTTGGCGGGAGTCTCAAGGGGCCGGGGCAAGGAGTCCAGCCACCCCTCAGGCTGTGCTGTGCTGTGTTGGCTGCTTGCTGCCCTTGAGGTGCAGCCTCTCGGGGACCCAAGGCAGCTTTCCCTGCTGCCTGCGCCAGGGCGCCTTCCCTCTTTGCCAGGCCTAACCATCTGTTTCCTCCCTGCAGGCCCCGGATCCCCGTCACCCTCAATATGAAGATGGTCATGCCCTCCTGGTCAGTCCCTACTGGGGGAGACCCACATGAGGGGGACCCAGGAGGGTGGGGGAGTCCCAGGGTGAAAGTCCCTCATGGGTTTTGGTAGGTGGGGGAGGGGGACAAGGACAAGGGCAAAAGCGTGAGCCGAGCCTAGGGGGTGGAGGGAGGAGAAAGGGGAATAGCTTGAGCCCAAGGCAGGGGAGCGGCCTCTGCCTGTCCCCGTGTGGCTGATCCTCCTGCTGCTCCCAGGTTTGACTTGATGGGACTGAGCCCAGATGCGCCAGAGGATGAAGCTGGAATCAAGAAAGCTGCTGAGAACAGTAAGTGGGTGCAGGGCTGGGCCAAGCCAGGCTGGGGACCCTCCAAGCCAGGCCCTGCCTTCCCCTTCTGCCTACGCTGAGGACTGAGTGGCCTTTGCTCCCGGTGTGCTCATTGCACATGGCTCTGGCAAGCACATTGGGGAGCCCCTGTGGCCTGGCTGCCTTGCCCTGCTAACCCCTGCCTGCCTCCTTGCAGTCAAAGCCATCATTGAGCATGAGGTGAAGAACGGGATCCCACCCAACCGCATCATCCTGGGGGGCTTCTCGCAGGTGAGTGGGGACACATGTTGTGTCACTGGCCCCAGTTCCCTGTCCTGGAGTTACGGGCATGGAGGGCAATGGCTGGGGAGTGGCAGCAGCGCCTCAGCCCCAAGGGGTGGCTGGCAGGGGCTGATGGGTGTGGTTGCTGCCCCCTCAGCAGTGGGGTGGGAGCTGCTGTCCCCTCAGAGCCTCCTTCCCCCTGGAAAGGGGCTCCCTGCTCTGGGCAGTGGCTCTGACACTTGCTCCTCTGCTGTCCCTGTCCCAGGGCGGTGCGTTGTCGCTGTACACGGCGCTTACCTGCCAGCACCAGCTTGCCGGCATCGTGGCACTCAGCTGCTGGCTTCCGCTGCACAAGACTTTCCCTCAGGTACCGTTCTGTGTCTGCATCTGCACATCTCTCTTGTTCCCAACTATCCCATGTGGGGTGCGAGCTGAGGAAGAGCACCTTTGCTGCCCCTTCTGCCTTGGGAAGCCCAAGCACTCAGTGCTTGCAGGGGTGGCCCAGCACAGCCCCCAGAAGGGCCCTGCCATCCCCCGTGCACCCCTGAGCCCTGGCCTCTGCCCCACAGGCAGCAAGTAACAGCGTGAACAAGGACATCGCCATCCTGCAGTGCCATGGGGAGATGGACCCCATGATCCCTGTCCGCTTTGGGGCCCTCACTGCCGAGAAGCTCAAGTCAGTTGTCACCCCCACCAAGGTGCAGTTCAGAACCTACCCTGGCGTCATGCACAGCTCCTGCCCGCAGGTCAGTGCCAGTCACAGCGGTTCCCAGGTGTTGTCCCCCCCACACTTCCCAGGGTCTCACGTGCATCTGGCCATGAGTCCTAGATACACACATCTCCCCCATGGAGTGGCTCGGGCATGTCCTCACCTTCACCAGAGGCCACAGCTCCTAGCTGGGAGCAGCCTGGGGAGTCCATGAGGAGGCTGGGGGGTGGGACGGGCACATCATATACTAGGACCTGTAGTTCATGCCTGGTCTCTAAGCAGGGACACTTTGCCTGCAGCAGCCCGTAGTCTTTCTAGTGAAGCCTCAGGGGCCTGAGCTTCCCTTGAGCCTGGCAGAAGTGGGAAGACCCTCCTAGGCAGGGGGCAGGCCCAGGCTGGAGCAGACATAGGGAGTACAGTCCTTTGCCCACTTGTGTGGGGGGCAGGGGGTCTGCCTTGGCATAAGGCTGCCCCTGGGCCCAGCTGTGGACTGGGAGTGCCCGACTTGGAGCCCCACAGCACTCAGCATGGGCCCCTGCCCTGCGGCGCCCACAGGCTGGGGCAGCACCTGTGTGACGGGGCTCTGGCGCTGTGCGCAGGAGATGCTGGCCGTGAAGGAGTTCATTGAGAAACTGCTGCCCCGGATCTGAGTACAGCCACTCAAGACTGTCGCGGGGAAGGACGCGGAGGTCACGGCCGCCGACCTCGCGCCCCAGACCCGGCCGCTGCAACCGGAAGCCATGGCAACCAACCTCGCCTCCACTCGCGCCCTTCCTCCTCCTGCCTCTGCCCGGGGCATGGGGCTGTCGCCCTGGTGCCCAGAGCCGAGCGGAGCTTTCCCTAGGGCTCCTCCCTCGGACCGTGCACCGTGCGCTCCCCTCCCTGCCCTCACGCTCATTGCCCCTGGCGGGTCTCCCTCCCTTGGTTCTCCCTGGCTCCAGCCCTGGGCGCAGTGTGCACAGGCTGGGGCCCCCTGGGTTTTCTCTGCTGTTACAGTGTTATGGGGGTGTCTGCGGAAGCCGGGGGGGTGCTGGCCCCCGCTGCCCCAGGCACAGCCCCACACCACCCTCATACAGATAATCGCCCCTTCCCACCACTCGCAATCTGCGCCTGCTGGGTACTGGCCCTGCAGGCAAAGACAAATCCCTGCCGTTTACAGCCAGCTCCCTGGCACGGGGGCCGCCCAGGTGCTGGCCTGATCCTCTACATCTCTCGCTGCTACTCCTTCCCTCATTGCAAGGCCAACGCAGGGAGTGGGGAAGTCTCAAGTTGCCAGGACCTGCTGCAGGCTGGGATTGCCGCCAGCTGGGCTCACTCCCACCCTCACCTCACCAGCATCTGCCCCAGGACGCCCGTGGCCTGGGCTAGTGCAGCCCCTGCTCAGCCCTCTTCACTTTAAGCAGTAGATGGTCTCTCAGCCTCCTGCTGGGCTAAGGCAGGGCCTGGGGTGAAAGCCACCCTACTTAAGAGCCTGCTTCTCTCTGGGAAAGCAGTCCCTGGAGCTGGCAGGAGTGGCCTGCAGGTGCAGGTTCCAAGGCCCCCCCACACTCCCAAGCTGTGCCAGCCTCTCTGAGCCCTCCCCCTAGCCAGGCCCTTCCAGCTGAGGGCTGGACTCTCAACACCTCTCCCCTCCCCTCTGCTGAGGTGGCCTGAGGGGCTCGCTGTTGAGCAGCACCAGCCCCCTGTCCCCCATGGGCTGAGCCTGCAGTGGTCTTGGCCCTGACCCCAGCCGGGTGCTGGAGCTCAGCGGCACGTGTCTTTTACACAAACCTCTAAGGCTAAGGGCTGAAGTCTTACTCCCACTGCCTGCACCCCAGACCCAGCAGCCCCCTGCTGCATGCACCGTGCATGACCCCTGCCCTGCCTGGGGGCACCAAGCTGGCAGCACCAGTGGGGCAAGGGGATACTTGCCCCCCATTACATGCTGGAGCCTGCCCTGTACAAGTGTGGGGCAGAGCATGGCTGGGGTCTGCAGGACCGCAAGAGGGACTGCTGGGTCCTGGGGTGGGGGGGAGAAGAGGAGTAGCTGGGCCCTAAATTGGGCCAGGCTCCCCCAGGCCAGGCTGCAGGGAGCATAAGACTGGTGCACAGTGGCAGCTGCCACCTCACTCCCCAGCCAAGCCCCCGCTGCGCACAGCAATAACCCTTCTAGAGCCTCAGCTGGGGCAGGCCCAGTGGGGACCTCATGGCCACAGCCCCCCTCCCTGCTTTGGGCTCCATCCTGCTGGTCACAGCTGCCCCCTGCTCGCCACCCCGGTCAGAGGCACAAGGGTGGGGTGGACAGAGGGAGCAGTAGCCCCCCTGGAGGCTGGGACAGTCCTCACCCACTACCTGTGTAGCAGGGATCAGTGGGTCTGGCCCTGGTGCCCCCTCGCTCTTGGCCTGGCCCTGTCCAAGGCATTCCACGCAGCTGCTCGGTGCCTGGGGGGGCACTGCCCAGAGCCCCCAGGAGCTGGGCAGAGGCGCTGTCCATTCCACACACACTTTTTAATTTTCTCTTGTCTTCCTTGTATGTGTTTTGGGTTGTTTTTTGGGTGGTTTTTTCCCCCTCTTGTTCCAGAGATTAAATAAACCATGGACCTCTCCCACGGGCCTGAGCTGGCATCTTTCCTGCAGGGAGCTCTGCTCAGGGCCCCTAACTGAGGGACCAGGACAGGACAGTGAGCCACCCCCAGTGGCAAGGTGGGGGCTTTCTGGCAGAGGTTATGGCCCCTGCCCCTGCCCAGGTACATGCAAACCACAGGGCTGCCAGAGTAAGAAAGTTTATTTTTAAATAGAAATCATCAACAGATCAATTCATAATTTAGTAGCATAAGTTACAGACTCAGGATGCAGCAGCAGCAGCAGCAACGGGGCAATGGTAGTGTTGGCCCAGCATGGAGGCAGGCACAGCTCTTACCCTGACGTGAGGCAGGAGAGCAAAGCAGTTGCCCACATGGGCTTTGGCACATGAGTTTAAGCAAGGTGCCATGGGTGACAGGAGTCTGATGTGACCACAGCAGGCCTCAGCTCAGACCTACTAGACCCCATGCACTGCAGCCAGCACCCCTGCCGGCCTTGTGCAGACTGCCACACACTGCTGGCTGAGAACAAAACCAGACACAATTCGCTTAATTAGTCACTAAACCGGGAACCCATCACCGAGACAGAACGTTGGACGCTGCAGAAAGGAGACTGCAGCGACAGGCGTGTAAACACAAGGCACTGGCTCCCATGCCTCTAGCACAGATCAGGAGCCTTTGGTCCCTTGCTATTGAGGAGGGAGGGGAAGAGAGGGAAGGAGCAAGTCCACACCAGGATAGGGGACTCAGGAGACGGTCCCACCTACATAGAAAAGATGGCATCGACGCCTGTGGAAGTGAAATGGTGACGCCCATGGAAACAAGGCTATATGGAATGGGCTGGGAAGCTGCCACAGGCTGACCTGTGGCCATGAGGTAGATGGTAGGAGAGGGCCATGCTCAAGAGCTCCCACCCTGCTCAGGGCCTGGCCATAATGGGGAACAGCCTACGCCCTGTGCTCTAGTGAGGGCAGCACCAAGCTAGTCTACACCGACTGTGGTCCCAAGCTAGACAGGCTGTTCCCAGTGGGCTCTGGGGAATGGAAGTGGCCCTGGCCAAGGCTGAGCAATGCTGGAGTGGGGCGGGGACTGGGCAGAGGGAGGGGCAGGAGCAGAAGCAGGCAGGAGCCTCCCCAAGCCTGTGGCTGCCTGGGCTGAGGCACCTCCTGGCTGCCAAGCCTCAGTTTTTGCTGAAGCCCATGGGGTTCTGCATCTGCCATCGCCACAGGTCCTCACCTGCAAAGAGGGAGACAAGTTGGAAAGGAGCCAGGAGAGGGACCGAGCCCCATGCTGCCAAGGGCTACTAGTGTCGGTCCCCAGGCCAACAGGTGCCCAGCACCATGGAGGGAGGGGGAGCGTTGGGGCGCAGGGGCGGTGCTTACACATCTTGTTGAGGCCGAATGCAGCTTTCCAGCCCAGCTCCTGTGCAGCTAGCCCAGGGTCTGCATAGCAGGTGGCTACATCGCCCTCACGCCGTGCCACAATCTTGTACTTGATCTATGAACAGAGCAGTAGGGCCTGAGCCAGTAGCTCCCAGGGGGTGGGTGTGTGTGTGTGAGGGAGAAACCAGCCTGGGCAGACCCCCAGCATAGGGGGAGGCAGGATGCCACCTAGTTAGGGTGCATAGGGCTGTTGCATAAGCAGCCAGCCTGCAACCAGTGGCTCCACCTGCCCCACAGCCAGCACGAGAGGACGAGCCCCAGGCTGTGAGCATAGAAACAGCCTTAAGTGCCAGCCCAAACCGCAGCAGTAAATGCCTTACCTCCCTGCCAGAGGCTTTCTCCATGGCCTTGACCATCTGCAGGACAGAGTAGCCAGTACCTGTGCCCAGGTTGTAGATCTGCAAGGACAGCACAGGACAAGACACTTGCTGGCTGTGCTTGTGCATCTGCATCTTTGCTTAGCATAACCAAGCACTGGACCCACCCTCCACCCCTGGGGCAGCCCAGGTAGGGCAGAGACTGGGTTCCTGTGCTCAGCAGGGCCGCAGCTGCTCTCCTACCTGGGAGTCAGGCCCTGGCCCCCTGGAGCAGAGCTCCCTGCACCCAGGAGCCTGCATGTGTGCCATGAACAGGCTTCCCTGGAGAGATCCCGCCCCCACGGGTGGCAGAGAGCAATGCCTCTGTCTCAATTATGCAGACAAGCATGTGTCAGGGGTGGGAGCCCCGTGACACTACATCCAACTGGTGGCCCCTAGCTGAAGGCTGCACCTGCACAGGCACCCCAGCCCAATGCCACAGCAACTCCTCAGGGCACCATTCCCTACCTTGCAGCCACAGTTCTCCTTAAGTTTCTTCAGCGCAGTGATGTGACCCTTGGCCAGGTCCACAATATGAATGTAGTCCCTGACGCCTGCCAGGGAACAAAGGGTTGTTGCCAGTGCTTCCGGGTGCATGGGGGGGTGCAGCAACTGCCCTGCCCCTGCAGCCAACAGGCCAGTCCCCCTTTCCACCCCAACAGAGCTGGGTTGCTGTGCCTCCCCCCCACACCCCAGGAGCAACACTGAGCCCAGCAACGCACCTGTCCCATCCACAGTGTCATAGTCATTCCCAAACACACTCAGGAACTCCCGGCGCCCCACAGCCACCTGCACGAGGAAGAGGCCATGAGTCCGTGCTCGGGGTACGATGGGGAAGAGGGGGAAGGAAAGGAGGCTGTACCTGAGCAACATAGGGCATGAGGTTGTTGGGGATCCCCTGTGGGTCTTCTCCAATGTCTCCTGACTCATGGGCCCCGATGGGATTGAAGTAGCGCAGCAGAACCGCATTCCAGCCCTGGGGAGACACCCCTGCACATCAGGCCTATTCTGGTCTAGGGAGGGGACAGAACAGGCTCCCACAGCCCATGCAAGGAGCCCAGACTGCGCCAGGCACTGCCTGAGGAGCTGGGAACGTGGGCATAGGGTGCAAAAGCAGCTAGCTCATCTGCCCTGCTGCCCTCCAAGTGCTGAGTCTCTGTGGCATGCAGGGCAAGAGCAGCCAGCCCAGGCCCTTGGACGTGGTCATAGCAGGCAGGGGCAGCACTAAGGCGGGATGTTCCATGCAGGGGACCATGGCCCTGTTCCCATCAGGGCATGTGCTCCCAGCTCTCAGGCCACATGCTCCAGCCTCCCGTTCCTGGGGTCCCTCTCAGGTTGGGGGAGTTTGAGCGGGATGGTTCTGCATGGGAGGCTGAGCCTTTCCCCAGGGGCTAAGAGAACTGGGCATGGGTCTAACCCTGCACACGGAGCTGGGGGCACTGCTGAGTCCAAGGCCTTGAACGCTGCCAAGACCCAGGGGCTGGGAGATCCCAGCTTCACGCACGTGCCGGGGTGTGGGGGGGTCGTTACCTTCTCAGCCTTGCACAAGTCTCGTATCATCTCTTCAATGAAGTACTTGGACTTGCCGTAGGGGTTGGTGCAGCCGCCGACCGGGTGCTTCTCGTCCAGGGGGAGGTAGGCAGGGTCCCCATACACTGTGGCCGAGCTGCTGAACACAATGTTCCTCACGCCGTGCGCGTTCATCGCCTGTGAGAGCAAGGACCATCTGACACAAAGCCTGCCCCGTGTGCTCGGGCCCTGCCACCAGGCTGTGCCCAGACCAGAGCCCTTGCAGAGACGCAGGGCTCATCTCCAGCTGAGACACAGCCGCTCCGAGTGCGAGAGCAGCGCCACGGGGTGCAGCAGGCTGCTTCCAGCTGAAGCCACTCTCAGAAGGCAAGGAGATGGGGGGATAATTACTGCACTGATCAGGGCAGGAGTAGCACCTGGCCCACAGCAAAGGAGCCAATCTCCCTGCAAGCAGGTGCAGCTGTTATACTACTAACCTTGGTACCGTGGGGGCTCTAGCAAGGCCCCCCGAATCGCTAGGCGTACCGCAGGGCTGAGACTTTCCCAAGGCACCCGGTACTTCTCAAATCCTAGCCTTGAGCCCGCAGCCCAGCGGCTGCCCCTTCATCTTCCGCAAGATGCCCTCGTGCCTTCCCAGCGGGCATGTATTCGACAGCCCCCAGACCTCAGCATCCCCCTCCGCCCCTTCAGCATTTGACCCAAGTCTGCCGTGGTTCTCCCCCCGCCCGCAAGGCTTCGCGCCGGAGCCCCGCGCCTCGCTCACCTCCAGCAGCCGGATGGTCCCGGTGAGGTTCACCTTGTAGTACTCCAGGGGCTGCTGGACCGACTCGCCCACCGCCTTCAGCCCCGCGAAGTGCATCACTGCCGAGAAGCGGTGCTGCGCGGCGGAGGGGACAAACACGCACGGCTCGGGGGGGGAGAACGGGCTCGGCCGCGTCCCGCCCTCAGGTCGAAGCCCACCACCGGGGAAGCGGCTGCCCGGCCAAGCCCCGGGTCTCCCCCCGCCCCCGAATGTTTTCTGCTTTCTGCGCTTGAGGGGATGGATGACTAGTGAAGCCGGGGTTTTCCTCCCCCCGACTCCGCCGGGACGGCTCTGGTGCCCCCAGGAGCCGCTTCCAGCCCCGCGGCACAAGCGGGAGGAGACACCCCTGCCCCGGAGCCTCCGGCTGGAGGTTTCGGCTCCTTCCCCGGGGGCGCAGCCGGAGCCTGGTGCTGGCCCTACCCCGCTCACCTTCCCGAAGAGCCCCCGCAGCGCCGCCTCGTCCAGCACGTCCAGCTCCTCGAACAGGATCTCGC